ACAGAGTTATGGGAAGAAAGCTGTAGGCCAGGGGTACTCAACCTTTGGCCCACGAAGCCCTCTGTGTCTCTGGACATTAAACCAGGGCTACCCATTTATCACTGTTCAGGCTTGCCTACCCATCTTCCCAGAGCATCAGGTTGTATCGAGCCAGTAGTGGAGGAAGGAGGCTGCCGCAGACAGAGCAGGAGCCGCATAAGCCGATGCTGGAGAGCAATGCCAGCAGAAACTGGAAGAGGAAAAAGGTCAGTGTATTAAACAACACATACACTTTTTCAATGGGCATATTGGCACCAATAAAAGGGTTAAAAACTTGCTGCTTTCACACTGATGCAAGGGTGCAGTGCACCTGCCGATTTTCTGCTGGTTAGCAGCACTGAGCAATTGACTTCAGTTATTTCCTGCGGGTTTGGTGCACTTTTTAAAAGTGCACCAAAACTCCTGAACACACACCCACAAGATATGTCTATATCAAAGCGCAGCTAAGCCACAGATGGACTGTGCGCACGTGCAGTGCGGGTAAACCACGACGCATTAGCATGAGATCAGCCTTTTAGGGGTCTCAGGACAGTAAGGACTTGTTTACATATGTAGTTTGGGGGGCAGTAAAAGCCTATATCCCAACCACTGGTGTAGCATCAGGGGTCACAATGGGGACCCCCCTCCAACTGCTGAAAGATGGCTTTTCCTCCTCTCCCTCACACCAGCATTCAGCAGCTGCAGGAGGAAAATGTTAAATTATGCTATTTAAAAATGTTATATTCTGAACCGTTTCATTTAATTGTGGCCCACGACCGGATGTCTGTAGGACCCAGACATTGCACCCATGATCTGCTGTTTGCGGGTGCAATGGCCTACAAGCTCCTGATGGAAAAAAAAAGCACATATGTATTTTGTTGTTTTTTTTTTTTTTTTCAGGTAAACTTAACCTTTTTAAAGGACATGTATCACTTCCCACCTTGACTTGTAATTGTATGCTGGTATTACTTACTTTATTATAGCCAGTGAATCTGCAAGAGAACCAGGCAACTAGCATTTTCAGAAGTAAAGCTCATACAGAATACTTTGCCCATTGTAAGCGTTGCCTGTTTAGATAACTGTTATATGTGCCAATTACCATAAATAATCTGTTTGCTACAAAGTCTTGCACCTCCTAAGAGTGATATCGAACATACAACTGCTATAATGTTACCTTTTGTGTTGGGTGTATGTGTGTAGATTCACCTGCTGCCTTATACCTCCAGGGGACTTGCGGCAGGTTTCTGCAAAGTGGTTTCTCTGCAGCTGCTCCCATAAGATTATAAAGAAGATATCACTCACAGCTGGGCTCCCCAATTAATGGTCAGCGTGCATTGTGGAGAATGTGACCATATGCTTTAACGTTTTAGTATTTGCAGCAGTTCTTGGTGGTAGTGTCACCAAACTGGATTCCCCATGAAATAGCAGGTGCCAGCATGTGATTCAGCTTGTTAAGAATCCCTAAGGCTTGGTTTCACAACTAATGTGTTTTTGCAGAAATGCACTAAGTCCATGTAACATGGTCTCCTATGGGACACGTTCACATCTCTGCTTTTTTCAGCTGCTACTTTTTTTTGGAAAGGGTCTGGACTTTTTTTTTTTTTTTTTTTTTTAAACGCAAAAGGGTTCATTTTTGCTCCAATAGATTTTAACAGAGATGTAGGGGGGGTTGCTTTGGGGGCAGGAGAAGTGTTTCCCCTAGATCACCTTGTTACTATGTTAATGAGGACAAGGGCCTCTTCACCACAACCCTGGGTAGTGGTTATGGGGGTCTGTTGGTGGGAGGTATAGGGCCTTCAGAACCCACCCTTCCAATTTTGAATGAGTATGGAGTACATTTATATCCCTACACATTCACCCAAAAAAGTAAAAGAAAGTAAACGCAGACAGATTTTGACAAGTCCCTTATTAAAAAAAAAAACAAACAAAACTATGCCCACCAAAGTAAATCTGCGCCAATCACTATGAACACCGCCGACCCAAAAAAAAAGGGGGGGTGCTCCCAACACCTGCTCCCGTCATCTGTCAGCTCCGCTGCCTCCTGCCACTAAACAAACGAAGGGGCAGGGCCACCTGGTAACATCACCATGTGTCACCACCACCACCTTGTGATGTCATCAATCCAGCATGCCCTGGTCGATATCACAAGGGGGCAGGGTTACCCAGTGACCTCACCTGTGACACCACCCCTTTATTTAGTAATGGAGCTGTCAGCCGGTGGGAGCCAGCATCCGGTGCAGAGCGGCGTTCATCATGACACTGGATCTACTTTGTAGGACATTGATCCCGGCCCCCCTTATTAAAGGGGGCTTCCTGATTCTGATAAGCCCCCTGCCGGCAAACCCCTACAACAACCTCCCAGGGTTGTGGGGAAGAGGCCCATATCCCCATCAGCATGGCCATGTTGCGGGCATGTGGCCTGGCAATCCAGCTGAAGAGTTATCTGTTGTTGAAGCAGCTTAACAACCAGCTATTCACTGGTTAAGGATGTCAGCAGCCGCCCGCTTAAACAAAAAAAAATACACACACACTAGAAAACTGTGTTTTGTAGCGATCAGTGTTAATTTATTTTTTTTTTTTTTTCTGCCGGAAATTTCTCACAAAAATGCAAACGAGATTTGTTTTTTCTGCTCCAAAATGCTGGAGCTTAAAAAATGCCTCTAGACTAAAATAGTGTGCATGGACACATAGGATAACTCTATTTGCAATTTACAGAAAAAACTCTCAAAAGCTGCTGCTAGGAGTGGTTTTTTTTTTTTTGTGTTTTTTTTAAACTAGTGTGCATAGTCTTAGAGCAGTATGCTCCCAGGAACAAATCCACTGAATGCATACTTGTGTTCCTGGCTTCCATCTCCGGGTGCATACTGGTCTAAACAATTGTACCGCTAGGTGCAACTTTCATCCTGTCATAGTTTCAGGCTGCCAGCAGTGGGGCTAGATGAGACAACGGTTCCTTCCACCAACCACTAAATGAACGGAGCCCCATGTACCGTGGCTAAATACCCAGTGTACATAGGGCCTAATACTAATATCTATGCACAAGGCATTATGTAATGCCTATATTTACGAACTTTGCCTGATGGGTTTACATTTGCTTTGAAAGCTGTTAAGTCAAAGTCTGTATTTTGTTTTTGTGTTTTTTCTTCTACTCCACGTTAAAACTGTGCTTTTAATTTATATAATCTTTACTGTATTAATTTGGGTCCCATGGTATTGTGTTGGCAATAAAGTAACAATGTCCTCTGCTCTTGTCAGTTCTGCTTTGTAAACTGCAAAACACCTCTCGCCTATGTTATGGAGAGGGGGAAGTGTTTGTAGTCTTATTAGGAAAGCATTGTAGGGTGATAATGCTGCTTCTGCATAGATACAGTACAAAGGGCGACTGGAGAGTATTGTCAATGTAGGAAAAATAAATGTGTGAATGGCAAGATCACTAGGCAAAAGGCTTGAAAAAAAAAACTAATGCATCTAGGCCTGGTAAGCTGCACATTTTGTTCTTGGGTTTACATACTACTTAAAAATAAAGTGTAAGATCCTGTAACATCTGGTGGACAATAGATGGAGATTCATTTTTCAGTTGAAATCAGTTAGATTTATTTAAAAATAAAGTGGGGGGAAACAGCTAAGCCTCCTTTGCCATAATAATGGGGCATTAAACTGCTGTGAGTGATAGTGATATGCGCCACATTACCAAAGCAGAGTAATTTCAGTTCCTTCTCCCTCCCATACTCTGCTGAAAGGTGGGAGGGGTGGGGGAGAAGGAATAATGAAACGTGCAGCTTCAAATAAACTGCTGTCTGTGTTGTATCTGTGTTTTTTTTTTTTTTTTTTTCAATTTAGAAGAGCTGTGCAGGCATAAAGCTTGTGCCTTATTTATTTATTTTTTTAAAGGATGAGTTCAACTTTAGGAACAGGTTACTTGTTCCTGGTTTTATGGTGGAACATGTATCATGTTCCCAATGCTGCAGCCTCCGCCCGCTGCTCCCCCCCCCTCCCTGTAGAGCGCCGTGATAGTTAATTGAACCTTCCATGTCTGCTTGCCTGTACATCTTGTACAGCAGATATAACAGGTCTGTAGGAGACCTGCATGACACCAGCACAGGATCCTCCAACCAAAAAAAAAATTAACTTTTTTTGCAGGTTAAATAAATGTGCATTTATTTTGTCAAAAGGTAAATTTATCCTTTTAACCCTCCATACTGTATGAAGAGCGGGATTTTTTTTCTTAAGTTTTAGTAAAGCTTTAACAAAGGAAACAGTACATGTACAGTGCAAATGAGTACATTCCAATGAATAATTGTGCAAAATCTCCACCCTTGGTGAAGGACATTAAATGCAACATCTTAACGGAGTACGACCTAAGTGTTGGTCATAGACTGTCATAGAGCAGCCTTTCTAAACCTTTTAAACAGGGGAGCCCTTGACATAACTTACCTGTCGCAGGGAACCCCTGCTAAAAATGACTTTTTTTCTACAATTCATGATACATTCATTTTGATAGTGATAGGTTATTAATTCTAATTAACTGCCTTCACCTGTTAATGCATAGATGATTCTAAGGCCTCATTCACAGGGGTACTTATCCCTGTCCAGTGAAAGAGCCATTTGTTCACACTTTGTATTAACAATGAGCTGCATAAGAATGTCTGTTCTTACAAAAACTGCAGTACTCTGTTTTGTCCACTAAGGGGCAGTGAAGTTACAACACACCAGAATCACTGAGCCAGAATATCTAAAATAAACATTACTGCTAGTTGTATTGATTTGGTTTTCCTTTTAACATGTTTTTGGTTTACAACCAAATGTCCTTAGGTAGCAACCTTTGCCACAAGATGTGTTTGTGCTCTGTTGAAGCTTAAAGACATTTGTGTAAGAAATCCCTGTGTTTACAATTCGTCTGCTGTTGCTGTTCTTGTACCCAGCCCTGGGGCCTTGCTGTCCCTTGACCACAATCTAAAGACTCACGTGTTTGTGTTTTTCAGGGAGGATGTGTGGATTCAGTGAATCAGAGCTTGGTGTTGCTGCTTATGACCCTGGGACAGCAGGATGTTTCCAAAGTCTTGCTTGGACCTTTGTCTCCTTATACGTAAGTTTGCTTTCACGATTTGTTGACTGCTGATCCAGATAATTCCATTTATATCCCTAAATTTTATGTTTTAGCTGGGGACAGTGGGAAATTCTAGTGATCACTTGTGCTTTTTTTTTTTATACTGTAGAACAGCATTTCCCTGGCGGAGTCTGAGAATGTGAACTGTCCTTTTTCGGTTATCATGGTACCGGTACTGTATATGTAATTGGTACAGTACTGTGATAACTGAAGAATGGTGGTGCCATCGAAAGACTGGCTGCACTTTGTCTCACTGAACAGAATACAAACCTCGTAGGAAGCAGAATGTTGCAGCATGTCATACTAATCGTTTGCTCTTTCTTGTTGACAAATACTAGTTTTGTATTCCAATCCATGTTTTCTTAAATTCTAAAATGTAGCTTTTGATAAGTGACTAAATCCATAAAGCTGGCAGGTCTGGCTGAAAGCTGCATAGTGTTGCCAAGTAACTGAAGGAGGGAGTGTTCCTATTTTGCTGAAATGGGGAATTCATTTTTTCACTCTGTTTTCCTGTGTGTTTGGCAGGATTGAGTTTTTGCGGCATTTGAGGAGCTTTTTCCAGATCATGTTTAAAATTGAAAGCAAGACATATGAAGAGCGTAAAGGAGCAGAGAAAGTGCTGTTGACCTGCGTCGGCGTTGGATTTTCCAATCTTAGCAAGACTATAAAATAATATGGAATTTAGGCTTTGTGAGCTCCTTGATGTGCCATTGCTATGTCCCATTGGCTGTGATCCCTGTACTGGCTTACTAGGCCTGTATGTTCCTGAAATGTTAGGAAACAAGTCTTCATTGTTTATTACTTGGGGATCATCCTGCAATTTCTCCCTCAAAGGGCTGGTTAATCTAAAACACACACTGTCATATATTTTAGAAAACACTTTCACGTTAACCTATTAAAAGGAAGTCCGGTGATATGAAGCTTCTAATTTGAAACTGTCACATTTAGTTTACTTTTGCTATGCAAGTGAATTTTTTTTATATTCATTTTAATTACATGAAATCATTTCATTCCAGCCCAAGTTTTTAGTCAAAAAAGGTTTTAAAAAAATAAGCACAAGGCACATTTTTACAATTAATGAGAAATGTCCCTTGTGCTGCAGGCTTCGGTTTTAGTTGAAATCTTCTGTCCTTTGATCTCCTGGTGCTGCAGAGGTTAATATGAACCAAGGGACCTGTCATGCACTTATCAAGAGTGCGGACTGTGCCCACCTCCTCCATTCATAGCAGTACTAAAGGTTCCATGAATGAAAAACAATCTATGAATAGAGGAGAGGTGGACTTTTCATTTATCTGCCTAGCCTCTATTCATTGAGCACTTTTCATTGCTGGAAGCTATAGCATGGTTTCTGTGAATGGAGGATGGGGGTGATAAGGGCAGGCATAGTTGGCATGCTTGACAAGTGCATGTGACAGATCCATCTGCTCATATTAACCCATGTGGCAGATTACCACCGTGGGAAGATCAGAGAGCCTGCAGAACAAGAGACACTTTGCATTGATTGTAAGTACTGTCCCCATGATAATTTTTTGTTTTTAATTGATTAAACTTAAGCTTTAACTGCTGAATGACAAAATCTGATGGTGTTCCAATATATTCCTGACACGTGTGTTTTTACAAGTTTTTCTCCCCAGAAAACCATTCAGTACAGAAGTGCCAGTTGTGAAAACTTGTCAAATGAATAAATCTATTGGAGGGGGAGATAATATAATGACCATACCTGCCTGCTTCCTGTTTTTCGCCAATGCTGTAAACTGAGCTTGCATGCGCAGCTCAGCTTACAGTACCTGGCCAGTTTGCTGGGTTGACTAGCTCCTGCACATGCTCAGGAGTGACGCCTGGATTTTTTTTTTTTGTAAGGTTATACTACAGTGCAGACGTACGAATTTCCTTATCTTCTAAAGCTAAATTTTAAATGTGGATTCAAAACTGCCATTTAATGCAGCTGGACTAGCCTTTTTTTTTTCCCCCAAGCAAACCAGTGCACCATACACAGTGATTTGAAACTGCACTTTCCTTACATTCAGGTGGTTCAAGACTACAGATATTCACCAACTGTCCAAACACATAAAAATACGTAGGCATAGCTGTAAATGAGTTTTAATGCCTAGATATAAGTGCCCCCTTTTCACATCCTGTATCCCTCAACAGTCACACCAAAGATATATCATGCTGGCTTCAGTCAGGTTTTTTTTTTTTTTTTGTGCTATTGAACTTTTAAAAATAAATTTTTTTTCATCCATTTTCTCTGTTAACTGTTTAAAAAAAAAAAATTTTAGGCTTCTTTCACAAAGGCACATAGGCCTGTACCTCGATGCAGACGGTGGTTTGTGCACCTGGGGAATAACAGTACTGCCTGCAGCCTGCCCCTCAAAATCAATGACATGCTGAGAAACTCAGCAATTTTTTACAGATCTTCAGACACATGCCAGTGTTAACACGTATACAGGGATGGACACACAGCTCTGGATATAGATTATCTGCATCCAGATCTGTGCACCCATCGCCTTTACAGATGTAAACACTGGCACGTGAGAGAAGATTGTACAGTTGCTGCATTTCTGAGCATATCGCAGGTAGACTGCATGAGAATTGTCATTCCCTGAGTGCAAAAGCCACAACCCTCCTTGCTGAGGTACAGATCTATATGTCTGTGTGAGAGAAGTCTTATGTACAAAGACATTGAGATATATGAGACGTTTTCTCAACAGAAACCTTATTTATACAACCTTTTCTCTGGACAACACTTGGACTTGAAAAGTACATTTTTGTATGAACTGTTTTGGTTTTTACTGTTAATAAAAATATTTTGTACAGACTTTGTGCTGATCTTCAAGCATGTGTTGTTGATGTATACCATACCCTTTTATTTTTTTAGGACTCTACAAATACCATGTCGTTTTGTAGAAGGCTTCCCCAAACAGGTGCCAGGTTCAATTACTTTGCACCTACAGCACAATCTGCTTCGATGCTGGTCACAGGTTCCATAATGGTTACAGAGCAGAAATGGCTTTGTGTTTAGAAGTATATTAAGTTTGAGCCATGGTACTAGCGCTATGCTTGTGGTAACAACAATAAATGCTAGTGCAGTCTGATTTTAAAGATGACAAATGATATCCTTATTCTCCATAAATATTCCATACACATCCACTGCTGAAATGCCCTGTAATCTATTCATGAAATTGCATTCTACTATGTTTTATCTGCCCCTTTGTATTGTTTCCATGATATTTCTGTGCTCTCCTTTTCCCCCACACTTCTGTTTGTTTGGAATAAGCAGTGTACCGCAAGTGCGGTCATGTGTAGTGCTCTGTGCACACTACAAATATAGTCCATCTCAGGAGAGAGCAAGAGAGGGTGGTTATGTTACTGCATACAGTGGGACCTTGGAAAATGAGCGTAGCCACTCTATTAACAGGTTAGATAACCGCAGCAATAAAAATAAGTTTGCAGATTTGGAGGAGGCTGAGAACTTTTGAAGGTACTTTTTTTTTTTTTTTTTTTTTTTTTTTACTTTTTTTTTTTTTTTATTTTTTACAGTTTCTTTTTTATGTATCATAGAATTGCTAGCTAAAGGATGCTCTATGTGGATCCCTTATAACACATCCCTGTTTGATGCTTCTGATGATGACACATTTTTTGTTGATTTTTTTGTTTGTTTTTTTTTTTTCTTTTCCCCTGTGAGGTGGTTATCCAAAATTGGCTCACAGGATATTAGGGCACTTGTCAAGATTAGAACCGCTGACTTGGTACAAGTGTGCTGCTGGTGATATTGGGAACATCCAACCTTAACATTTAGTAGTGGTTTCCGTATTTCTTTTATGACCGGTTAAAGTATTTAAACCTTTCTCTAGCTAACTACACAGTTGAATTACATACTGTTTTACCTGTCAAAGGGTTTATAGTAATGTTTAGGCAGTCTTGTTTATTCATATACTATATATACCAAATTGCATAGCCATTTATTTCGTGTCACCTGTCTAGCGCCAGCCTGCTTAAAGGAGAAGTATGCTCAATGCTTTTTTTGGCTGTACTTCTATGGCTCACAGGAAGGCAGTTCCTGTGACCCGTTTCAGCTGACAGCAGGATAAAGCTCGCTGCCTACTGACATCAGAGCCGATCCAGGCTGCGAAAAGATCCTACTAGAATATAAAACAAGGTTATCTATTCGGCCTCATGCACACAGTACGTTTTCTTTAACCCTCCTAGAAGCCTCCACCTGATGCTTCTAAGAGTGTGTCTTGCTTCTAAGAGTGTGTAACGTGTTTATTTGCATCCACATTGGGCATTCACTTAATTGGCCAGAACACTCTTTTAGATGCATTTACATATGTCAAGTGTATTTTCTGCTAAAACTCTGCTGCTCCTGGATGCACTAGCAGTGGGTTTTTTTTTTCCTTGCCTCTAAACTCTACTGCCAATAAACACCTCTAAATGTTTGTGTGCTTGGAGACATAGGCTAACAAGCAGGGGAGTTTTGAGGCAGAAAAAAAAACACCTGATGCCACTAGGAGCAGCTGCAAAAATGTCCAGTGTACATAAGACCTTAAGGCCTAAACATCTTAAAGCTTAAATTACAAGGAAATTTTTTTTTTTTTTGTATTGGATAGAGTGGAGAGGGATTAGAACACCTGTCAGGTTTTTTTTTTTTATTGCTGTCTGTACCCCTATTGGGGAGATTTAGCATCTGTTTGCCCTGGTTACTGTCATCAAGCAAAAGAAAATCTCTATTTTTTGGTTGTCACCAGAACAGGAATGGAGAGAAGAAATCCTGCAAAGGGGACTTGAGAAGTTCTGGTAACAACCTGTTTTGGCTATGGGACAGGAGAGGAAAGGAAATCTCCCCAATGGGGCACATGGTAAAAAAAACCCATGGCTAATGATCAGTTGCACTAATTACACATTATTATTCAACCCAAGACTTAGAGCATGTAACTCTTGCCGCTTTTTCCCACCTGGAGTATGGGAGTATGGTCCCCTAATT